GTTATGGATCAAAAAATTAATTCAGTCATACTGATCAATTAATACAGTAATTTGACAGAAACATACATTCTGTAAGATTGATCTGAGCAAAAATAGACTTTAGTGTAAAAATTTATTCTTTGTGAGAAATCAAAATTAATTATCATTTACATTCTCATCAAAAAAAAGTGAAAAATTGCCCTAAATTTACTTTTCATATGCAAATTAATATCTGATAATATCATCATTTCATTAGGGAACTTTGGCCCAAATAATTGTGGAGAAGAGATTTGTCTTATCTATTTTTCACAAGTTGTAATTTTAATTTTATATTAATCTTACATTTGAAATTGCAGATTAATTACTGCTTTTATTGTTAGCGTGGTAGCTATGCCACCATTATTTTGACGATAATAACGTGTAGAAATGTTTATCTTTTTTGATTAACATTGCTTATCTTATTTTACATTAATCTCATAATTTGTATTTAAATCAAAAAATCACTGAATTTTGGTAATTGAACATATGTCAATAATATTTTTGCAATAAATTCAGTTTTTTATTTGAAATACAATAATCTTTAATTGGCTGATTGTTTCAGTGGAGTTGTGCAGAGAAAAAATAAATTAAAATACGAATTGCAAAATTAGAAAAAACAAGGGAAATCTTTTAAAAACAAAGGAATTAAATTGAACTATTTGTTCTTTGTTTTGTTTCGAAAATGTTCCGAATTACACGATAACAGAATTGTTTACTTCTCGTTTTTATATGAAAAAAATTGATAAGAACTTGTTTAAAATGTATTTTTATGAAGATATCACTTTGATTAATTCATTTCACTAAAAAAAATGATTATAAAAACTGAAAATTTAAAAAAAAAAGTATTATATTCAAAATTGATAAACTTTTCGGCAGCACTCTGAAATTTATCAGTTTCAGAGATGAACCATCAAGGAAATCAATGAATGATGAGACTGCTGTAGCTGTAACTGCACCTCCTGAAGCACCTCCACCACTTCCTGAATCCCCATGTCCTCCACTTTCACCGCGAAGAGCTCCATTATCTACAGTTAGTTCTCATATTTTAGATATATACATTATCTAATGCGGAAATTTTTTTGTAAAAATTGCTTTTGCATTTTTTAAATTTTGGCATATGTAAAATGCGTGAATTTTTTTTGCAAGTAACAATTAATCTCATGCTTAGTTTAGTGAATTAAAAATGATTGAAAAAGTTGGTAGCAATCAAAAAACATAATAACTGATGTGAATTTTAGTTCGAATCAGATTAAAGCTTTTTTTCCAGCCTTTTTCGGTAGATACGTCAAATGCGCATACGTTGCGCAAAGGATGGCTGATGCTAAGAGGCAAAAATGCGTCAGATTGGACAAAACATTGGGTTGTATTAGCTGGACTTTCTCTTAAACTTTACAAGTATGCATAAATTTATCATTTGAATACTAAACCAATTATTTGTTTTTTTTTAATTTTAATATTCTAGTATTTTTAATTAAATAGGTTGTAAATTTTAATGCCAGAAAAAGATGCAATGGTGACTAATTTGTTCAAATTTTAGAGATGTCTGGGCAGAAGATTCTACAGAACCATTGCTTTCCGTCGATCTCAACGAATGTGAAAATGTCTATCCATCAGCTTCAGCTAAAAATTATGGCATTGAAATAAAAGTAAGTTATTTTTTATTGATATTTTTTTATTTGGGAAATTTAAAAAATATTGCTTATTAAGTGTTTTCTTTCAAAATTATCCTTGTTCCATTGCTATTAACATTTTTTTCTTGGTAAGAAAATTTTAGTGTCGACGAACTCGCTATGTTCTTTCGGCGATGACACCCGGTATTCGTGATAGTTGGATTACTGCCTTACAGCAAAATTTGCATAATCCTTCTCCTACTTACATTGAAACTTGTCTTAGTGATGCTGCGAGTCTACCAGAAACTGACTTGATTTCATTACCTCCTGTAAGTATTGTATAAATCTATGTGATATAAGGTTTGATCACTTTATTAAGTCAA